TGATCAACAAATCGCAAATTTAGAACAAAATTACAAGAACATGAAACATGATGTAGATATCCAATCATCTACTATTCCTGAAATAGATATTGTGGCTCTTGTACCTACACATACACAGGTAAGATGAAGAAGTAGTCAAAAGGCTAGACTGAATAATTATTTTATTTTTCATTTCAAAAAAACAAAAAAAAAATAGACAGATATTCCTGAAAATCAACATGCTCTACAAAGAAAATCTGTTAAGCGTAAACGTGAAACAAGACCAGGTGTCATTACAACGTCATTAAGTCAAATGTCAATATCAAATCTTCCAAAAAAAACGACCACGTTCGACATCTATGATTCGTATTACAGAAGAGAAAAATTTGGAAGAAACAGAATCTAATACTAAACCCAAATATTTAAAAGTACCTGATCAAGTATTCAAAAATATTCTATCAAAATCATTGGCAGATGGGAAGTCTATTGTTGAAACATTAGATACACCAGAAAAATTAGAATTCGTCCGTATATATGCTCATTTGCTCAATAACGTATTTTATTTGAAATTAGAACGCGATTTTTGGGAACATTATCAAACAGTATGCGTTTCTGAAGGCATTTGGTCTTCACCACTGCAGAAAGATATTGCTAAAGAAAATAATCTATGTCGATTCAAATTTAAAACGAAGATTCAACTTGAAAAACACTCAAAATTGATTGACATTCGACTAAAAGAAGTGGAAAACAAGTTAAATAGCCACCTTCAACAGCTCATTCAAAATTCATTTGATATGAATCAATTATCAAGCTTGATTACTGCTTTTGTACGTCAAGGTCAACATAAATTATCGGCCGAATATAAACAAAAGACATTGATATTACAATGTGATGCAATTGATCATCGATTAATTACAACTTTTTACAATTTAAATCCAACTGAAAATCAGGTATCAATTTCTTAATATTATTTTAAAATTTATATAGTAGTATGATTGTTCAGATTTATTCTGCGAAAATTATCTGGCAGGCTACAAAAGATAAGTTACAAGCTGAAGAACAAGTAGCCATTCTCAAACAACGTATCTATACCAAACGATTACCTGCATCATTTTCTATTCTTGATCATTCAATTGATAATATAGAGAATATGTTAAAACAACCAGCGCTCAATAAAGATAAATGTGCTACATTATCATTTCGTCGACTTAAAACAATTGCTCAGTTCAAATACGATATGATGGTATTGACTATAGCAACAGCTGAAGAGACGGTTCGAACTCATCTTAGCATTATTGCTAATGAAAAGAAGAAATTAATTGATACTAGCGGTGGACAAGTTCCTCTTCCGAAGCCACTCATTCAACTGATGAATGCTATTACTGCACGTCAAACTAATATGGTACAACGTTCTCAACATATTATTCAACAAAAATTATCGATTTTCGACGACGCTCCAGTGGCAGAAAATATGACTGGTGCCACCGGAGCGATGTAATTGATCTTTTCAGTCATATTCTTCCATCATCACCTATCGTCGAAGTCGCTTCTACTCTTCAACCGAAACATTTCTCTTACCTTACCAATGGTCCTAAATATGTTCCACCATGTCAAAGTCGTTTTTCAAGTGGAACTATCGATAAAATTATTCTGCGCGAATATAATCATATTATTCAAAGTTTTGAAAAGGGTCTTACAAAGAACTGTATTTCAGCTTCTGATCAACGCGCCAAAGATTTCTTTACTGGTATAGATGATCTTCTTCGTCGACTCCATACCAATACATTATCTCCTAAATTACTGGCTCGAGCTCAATATGAACATCGAATTATGAAGAGTACGCAACGTCAAATCAAAAAATCCAATGTTATTATTCGTATCACTGACAAAAGTAAAGTATTTCATTTAGGTAGTGTACAAGATTATCATGAAAAAGCATTACAATACATGCAAGACACCAATGCCTATAGAGAAATAACAAGTAGTATTAATCCATACCAACAGCATGTTCAGACAGTTTTAGCATTAATAGATCCAATGTTAAAAAAAGGAGAGATTAATCGTGAATTATGGAAACAATATATGCGACCAAATTCAGTGACCACAGAATTAGCTCATCTATACTTTGTACCTAAACCACACAAAGTAAATTTTCTTTTGAATAATTTTCTTTTTAGATATCTTTTCTTCTTTACTTTCTCTCATTGTAGATTGGTACACCATTGCGACCAATTGTATCCTCAATAAAAGCAGCTACAACTGGAGTTTCACATTTCTTAAATATTTTACTTCGACCACTATTTAATCGAGTGACGAAAGACACAACATTTATCAATGGAATCGACTTTGTTCGACAATTGGAACGTTATCGAATGAATGGTCAACTCTTGCCAATGACATTGTTTGTTACTTTTGATGTAACTAATCTCTATACCATGATACCACGGGATGGAGCTATATTTGCATTACAGAAATTTTTACGTCAGTATGGAGAAAATCGCCGAATTCATGGAATGACTATTGATATTATAATAAGACTTGCTCGTTTAGTTTTAGACACGAATTGTTTCGTCTACGAAAAGAAATATTACCAACAAATTCGTGGTGGAGCTATGGGTTCACCATTTACTATGACATTAGCAAATATTTACATGTTGGAATGGGAACATTCATTAAATGAACATCAAAAAATGCAGAATGAACTCTACGGCCGGTACATTTTAAAATTGACTTCATTTTGATATTCATCGATTTCTGATTTTTTTTTTTTTCCTTTCTCACTAGTTATATTGACGATGTCTTTATGACTACGAATTTGACAACGGATCAAATGAAGGCTCGTCTCAATGCAGCAAATGAGCAAGACGAAAACATCCGAATTACTTATACAATTGGCTCCACTGTTGAATTTCTCGATGTACTAGTCGAGAATAATCAAGGACAACTAAAAACTTCAGTATACCATAAACCAACCGCTGAACCCTATATTCTACCTTATTTATCAGATCATCCACGTCATATTCATCACAGTACTGTCAAATCACAATTACTTCGAGCAGCCCGTCTCTGTTCCCATGTGGAAGATTTCGATAGAGAGCGATTAAATATTGAATTCATTTTACTATTGAATGGCTATCCTCCAAAATTTATTGCTTTTCATTTGAAACAATTTTTTCACAAAAATAATGCTTTGTCGATATTGAAAAATTTGGATGAAGTTGCATACGAAGAGTTACATCGCAAGCTGTTATATCAACCAACACGTCGAGAAAGACAAGAGCAACAACAAGAGATAATCACAACCGATGGTAATCCACACGAAAACTCGAATGATAACGACATATTTATTCATTTTACTTTCGAAACTGGTCCAATGTTAAAGTTTAAGGCAGAGTTGAAGAATCTATGGAAAAAACATTATATTGACAACTATCCCATGAAGCACAATATTCGATTAAGAGTTGCCACTAGAAGCAATAAGAATTTAAATCAATTATTCGTAAAGAAAAAGCCACCAAAAGCAATGTTAATAAATGTAGTCTAGAAACATGGAACAACTACAACAAGAACAATAAAAACCAATAATGAAGAGTAGAGTAACTTCTCTCCTACTTATGTATTTAGAACAATATCTTTGTATTTATAAATGAAGACTTTTTTTTGTATATTTCATTGCTATTCTATTGTAGAATTCATGTTTTTCTTTCGGTACTTTGATTATTACTTCCAATAATGAATTTCCTCACTTTCAAAAAAAATGATTACTTCTTTCTTGTTCTAGATCTATACGACTCTACTAAACTTAACCTCCTGTTCACACTCTCAAAAAGAAGTATACAAATCATCAAACAATTCAATGTGAGTATTATTTATTTCAGTGATAACAGCTTATCCTGGCTATCAAAATTTCTTATACTATATCTGAACATTTTTTAGAATGAGTACCCAACCTAGTCAAATAGGTACTGCACCAACCGAATCCATCACTATGGAAACTAATAATGAAGGTGATTTCAATCAAATACTCACTGACGAATTAGTGATTCTAAGTCAATCATCAATACAACTAAATATGACCAACATGATTCCTAGTCAAGTACCCAACATTCCTAATCCAACGACAACACATCAGAATCTGACAGATGATGAATTTCGAGCTCGAAGACGGGAAGCTCGACGACGACGGCGCCAACGCCGCGCTGAACGACGACGCCAAGCTAGAGCATCTCAACAACAGCAAAGAAATCAACAACGACAAGAGCGACGTTCAGAAAGAAGAAGAAGGGAAAGATATCAACGGTGGCAACAGCGACTTGCTGAAAGAAGACAACAAGGATATGACTACTCACCCCGCTACGAATATCGAAGCCGATGGGAGCGACGAAGAGAGTATGATTTGTGGAGCATGGATTCCTCGAACGTCTATATGGATGAAATGTATATCGAGCCGCTGTTAGAACAATATGACTTAGAAACTGGGAATCCAACTTATTACCAAGACCAAGAACACATAAGGATATTGGAAGGCATGGCAGCTCTAGAACAACTGATGCTAATGCAAGATGAAATCGAGCAATCACAACAAATCAGAGTAGTTGCAGATTGGGATCAAGAAAAACTAAATGATCTGAATGAAAGAAAAAACTGGGAACAAAAGCAACTGAACGATTTCCAGGGCAACCCATTGACGAAAGCGGATGAAATCGAACAATTACGACAAATCGACACCGTCGCAGAAATACAACAGGAAATACCCATGCATATGAGCTTAAACGATCAATGGGATCAAGAACGATTGTACCAATACGAAACACTTACGACACCAGTGCCATAGGGTACTGAATGGTGGATAGTTTTTCGCCCTCAATGAACCCGGAAGATGGAAAGTAAATAAGCAGCCGATGAAGCAAACTGAAGAACTCATGTACAGTATACAATGCAGTTCTACTATGTATATACACATTCTTCCAACGAACTACAGCAAACTAGATTACATTTGTAGAATATTTCTATGAAAAATTTCAGATTGTTTTCTCTCATAAAGAAGAAACAAACTTGAAAAAGACTTTCACTTCTCTTCTTCATATCACAATAAAATTCCAACACTTTCTTCTATTTCAGATAATATTTATAACAATTAAACCGTATTCATCCAACAACACCAAACACGGCAGCCCATAAAAGATATCAACAACCCACTTCTCGTAAAAAACTTCAAGACCGCAACGTGTCAACAAAAGTCCCCACACAATGATCTATATTATCCGTAAGTTACGCCACTCAGATACAAGTCAAAAAGCAGCAAATGATTCAGCTACCCGACTTCTTTCGACTGTACTATCATGTCAAATGCGTATTCCAAAATCCAATAAAACAAATAGTAAAGGATTTGAAAAATCTGCACTTACCAAAATTCCCAACATGCCTCAAAATAATACTTTCCTGTCTTTCAGATATTCTTCTTAACATTGGAATATCATACATACTTTTCTCACAATAACCACATCTAGAACAACTTGAGCCAAACCGCGTAAAGTAAAATGACTTTAACAAACCCTCCAAATATAATGCAAGCAATCACGATACAAAACGAGAATTCTCAACACCACCCAGCTTATACATGCCATCAGGTCAGAACACAAAAACACAACCAACAAAAAAGATCGCGCATATATAGTGCGACAATACACTCAGTGAACGCGACCACCTTTCCAAAGTCCCCAATCACCGACATCAATAACTATATCAAAACTGTCTTCCATTAATCTTCAAAACTACACACATGCATAAACACAGAAAATCAAAAAACTAAACACACCCCAACAAACTACCTTTCGAATACACCTCATACAAAGTCTCCCGGTTAAACCAAAACTAACATATTGTACCTCATGTGAAAATCCCTGCCACTTTACAACTCGTCCACACATCATAACTATGACAAAAATTTCAGTATTTCCCATTCAAGTTTTGTATCAAATTTTATGCAGTGCTTAAAACTACCTGATGATTCCGACCCTTGAGAAAGGTCGAAACTATAGTAGTAGTTATTCTTCTAATACACATCCCAAACTTTATTGATGAGAACGATTCGATATTCCTCGACATTTGAAGCATTCATTGAAGAACGACGTCGTATTTGTCTCACTTTATTATTGAATGGGTAAATGATTTCTCTCGACTCCCGACAGGATATCGTGTGATAACTAGTTGTGCTTTCTTTTTTTTTTTTATTTGTTAGATATCCATCGAAATATATCAATACTCAATTTCATGAATTTTTTACAAAATATTTATCGATCTCTTCATCCATTTTACCATTAATCGATAATGAACAGCAATTTTTCATCATATGTGAAAAATGATTGGCACAACCATCTATTGGACAAATGATAGTCAATAAACGTACTGCCACCATCACTACCATCACTCAAGAGACATCTGTGCAAGCACACATTAAAACTTTGAAATACGATGATGAGAAATTTCGAAATAACATTTTCATTCATTGTACTCATGAAGCAAGACTTGAAGGTGTAAAACGACATATACATGAAATTCATGATGATATTTTTAAAAATACCAATCAAGTAGAAAAACGTTTAATTGTGGACCATCGAAATAATCCCAATATTGAATCTGAACTGACACGAAAACGTCCTCCTTCATCGTTACTCAAACTGGTACAACCAACTAGAAGTAAACATTCGTATCGCTTCAGCTTCCAATGTAAAACAAAACTCTCTTTCTCTCTTTCGTGTCTATTTAGAACAAAAATCCAATCAACCGACGATCACCTCATAATCATGAAAGGAGACAATCTATTTGCATTTTAAAATTGTTCGTGTGTGTTCTTCTGTATTTTATGTTCAAGAAAATACTCTAGATTATCTTTATGTTTACTTATTTTCTCCTATTTCATTCGAACTCTTATTCAATGAAGTTTACTTCTGTTCTTCATTTTAGATAGAATTCCTTCAAAAATTCGTAAGAATGCAATCAAATCAAGGTCAACGACGAGAACAACCAGCAATGCAAAAAAAGAAAGAAAAAGAACTTAAGTCCACGTCAACAAGTCCGGAAGAAACAGTATTTCAAAAAGAAATATTCGAAACTAGATAGCCATATGAAAGCAATATACAATACCAAGAAGTCAACGGTCGACTTCGGACTTGATCTCAACTTGCCTGAGAACCATGCTAGCTTTACTTCACCGAACGATCCACAAAAACGTACAATGATGTTGTGGTATAGTGAATCGTATATGGATCCAAAAGTATATATCAATGATTATTTATTAATGACGAATAAAGACTTTCAAGACTTAGTCTTCTCTACGAATATCACAGGTACGGATAAAGATTATTTGCTGAAAATTTTTCAACAGGAAGAACTATTATTGTATTCACATCAATTGGCACAATTGATCAATAAATTTAACTACTTGAAATTACAATATGAACAATGGACCTATTATTATCAATTGGGATTAACGGAAGGTATTTGGGCTGGATGCGTGTCGAAAAAAATGGCTCTCGTCAATACCATGTGTGTATCGTATGGAAGACGAAAAGTGTTGATTGAACAACGTCAAAACTATTTCGAAAAACATATGGAACAGACCACTCATGAGATGGATGAGTATATAAAACAGGCATCGACTTCCCATGATATTCCAAAGGTCATGTTGATACTGACTGACTTTGTCAATCAGAATCAATGTCATTTTCGAAATGAACTGGAACGTCGAAAAATATTACTTAAATTTGATGCTAACGATCATCAATTGGTCAATGCTTTCTATGAATTAAAACCAAGAAAAACTGAAGTGAGTGCATTTATATGTTTAGAAAATATATCCGACATCGTCGTTTAAATTTGAAATAGATGCATTCGGCTCAAGTGATTTGGAAAGCGGTGCATGATGAACAACAACTTCACTATGAGATTGAAATATTTAGAAAACATCTCACCGAACAGTCTCTCTTGACTTATGACACCTTTCAAGAATTACCATTGCCAAAAATCCATTCGATCTTGGTTCAACTTCTTTTTAATCAACCATGGTTATCGACAATCGCTCAGACAACATCGATTAGTACATTTATTCATGATTTAAGTTTACAAGCAATATCAATGACTGAAAAGATCGCAATCAATTTCATGGAAAAAGTCATCATGGAAAAAGAAAAATTAGTTCATCGAGGAAAAAAATTTAACAAACCACCATGTATAGATGCAATTCTTGCAGCGATTGGAAATCGTCAAACCAATATGGTCCGACGTGTACAATATTATATCGAACAACTTTCGTAAATGTTTCATACAAAATGTGACCTGTTGTAGAAAGTAATACTCTTCTAGGGAATCGAACACATCAAAGAACTATGTTTCTTTTTTTCGTACCATTTTATTGTTATTGCTTTCCTTCTAACAGACATTGCTTGACTATGAACTTTTTTTTTCGTTCAACGTTTGAGAAAAACATTAAAAAATCATTTTCTGTTAAAATTTTCTTTCTTCTAGATCTTATATCAGTAGAGTAACTGAATATCAAGCACTCAATTTTTTGACAAAAGCGAAAATCCTTCATCAAAATGGACTCCAGTAAAAATGATTTAAAACAAGGGAAACAGCCTACTAAGTTAGTAGGTGCAGAAGAACAACATGACTATCAACCGAAAACATTAGGAGACAAGGAAAAGAATGGTCGATTTGCCTATTTGCCCATCTTTCCAGTTCAAATTGTTGGCAAAAATGAATATCTACTTTTGGCTAATGTACCAGGTTTGTATTTCAACTTTTTTTTCCAATGACATATCTTTACATTTTATTATTACTATGATTTATTAGTAACTTGTCTTACATCAAATGAAATTGCTCGACGTGAAAATGGAGCATATACATCTGATGCTCTGATGTTGATGAATATGTATGAGTATGGTGATATATTTAGTTTATCTGAAGAAGATGTAGAAAAACTAGCTACACATTTAAAAATCGGCAAATCAATTATTACTTTTAATGCTGATCGACTTCGTTGCATTTCTTGTACTCTTTTTGCATTACATGAATCATTTCGACGAAATATTTTATTTAAGAAAGATGTTGCCTTGAAAGAACCAACACTCAATTCAAAACAAATGGCTATAGCATTAGAATTCTATTTACAAATAGATGGTCAGTCTTCATGTTGTAGACATATCATTTCATAGTCTCATACATTTTTTGTGATATTTTTTTAGTGGATCTATTCTATATGAAAACATGTTCATTTCGTGGAGCTCTACATCGATCTGATCTAGAAGGTTTATTCTGTAGCAAAGATGAACCACAAGCAAATTATTCTATGATTCCATGTCAGAATCCGTTTTGTACATGTTGTCATCCAGTAAATAATGAGAAAAAAACACAACCATGGCCAGTTGTTAATTTTGCTTCAAGTTCAATGCATCAATTTATTAATGGATATACAACATATCTCAACTGTCCAGCTGTATGTATAGTTTGCTTTTTTGGTGAAAATTATTGGATTGTAACAAAAGATATGATTTCTTAAAATTTAGACTTGTAATACAACAAATATCATCTATACGATGACATGTCCATGTGGTCAATATGATTATGTAGATTCAACTGCAGAAACATTGGCTGATGCGATGGCATGTATGTATAAATCTTATGAATATGATTAGGAATATTTTTTGGTTTTTTTTCTTCTTCGTGTATGTGAATATAGATCATCGAAAACATGGCAATCGAATTATACATGAAACATTAACTGGTAGTTCAATATTTCCATATATGACACACAATTCTTTCGAATTCGAGTAATGAAAAATATATCGATAGAAATTGATTTGATTATATTTATTTAAATTTCTAGAAGAAAAATAACTCGTAAAATGCGTCTCTATCAACATTCTGCTCGATGTCCAATAGCACTTCGTTTATTTCTCGATTGTAATCCTAATTATTGGTGTTTTATTCCTTTGCTTGTTGATGAAGCAGGAGCAGAAAACAAGGCCTATGTACAAGAAAGAACTCCTTGTTCTACTTCTTCCAATGAAGCAGCAGCAGCAGCAACAACAACAACAACAAATGTTGAAGTGAATGTTGTACTCGATATGGTTCATCGTATGCATGGTAATCGTAAAGTAGCTTCTTGTCTTCAACAAGTACCATTGGCACCAGCTAAATATGTCTTTTCCTATGATCAAAGAGAACAACAACGTTTATTTTTCGAACAATTTCTTGCATCTGATGTTGATCAACGACCTTATTCTGTAGTAGATTTGTATCATGTAGCTATTATTGCTGTTCGTAAGTGATGAATTTCACTCAATTTTATTTTCTATTGTTTTCTATCTTTGATCACTTAGTACCCGATAATTGTTCGATTATATTACGATATCTGATTGAAACATTATTTATAATTCATGGCGAAACAAAATTGAATATGATTTGTCCTATTGGTGGTGATCCTCAACAACATTATGGTTATCCATATAGTCTTGTTTGGTGTAAGAATTTAAATCGTCCATACATGATACCAGGAACATCAATTCAAACCGACAACAATATATAAAAGCGATACAATCTTGCTATGACCATTTTTTTTTTCATCGATCAATATCTAACTTTGTTTGTTCAATGGATGAGATTGATTATGAATATCAATAATCCTTTTTTCTTTCTTTCTTTCTTTTGGCTCTGTAGTGTGTGTATGTATGATCTATTCTCAACTAGAAGCACTGAAGTGACTATACACTTCTTCTTTGTTCATCATTATATACTCTTCTAGTATAGATTTCGAATAGCCTAGTAGTTCTACACAGTTATATATGTTAGTCTATTTCAGAGTTTTTTTCTTCCTACTGATTTTTCTTCATTTTAGATTTTCTATTCAACAAAAAGAAGTATATTTTCTTTATCATTCAATTCTACTCCAATGGTTGCTTTTACACACCACCGAATATGTGTTAGAAATCTTTGATAATCTTTAATATAATTGAATATATATATGAGTAGATATGGACATATATATTCTGTTTTGATGAATTAAATATAGTTAATTCTACTCTAATTAGATATATTCTTTGTACAATAGTAATATAATAGATTATTGTATAATAAATAGTAATTCCTTTGTTAAATTATAATTATATTCTTTGAATTACTATAAATTTGATATAATATCTTTGAGATTCCACCTGATGAAGTCCCGGCAAGACAGAAACCTACGTTTGTCGTGGAACGCCATATTACTACACACACCTATATATGAATTTTCTGTGATGGTTAATATTTTCTTTTACTTTTGCTTATTGAAAAGTTCAAGCAAAATATTAATATGATCAATTTCAAAAAATTGTTGAAAGTATATTGGAAGTTTCGACTTTACGATGAGACTTTTATTCAAAAACTTTTACTATTTTGAAAAATTTAACCGTTATGTAAGAATTTTAGATTCCAAACTTACCTGATGAGGACCCTTAACCAAGGTCGAAACGCGTCGTAAGTATGCTTGGTTTCTAAAAATTCAATTATTAACACACCCACACCCCAATACGACACAGACAGGTTTAAAAGATGAAATAAGTTGTCTAAAATTGAAACAAGACCTGTAAGAAAATTAGTTTAGACACAGAAATATCAGTGTTTGGCATCAGTTGGATCGAAACAATCATTCAACTAAATAGTTTCACTGTTGATGATCAAAGACGACTCAGAAAGAAAATTCATCACAAATACTGAAGAAATTATCAACTGATTCAACCAATCCGAAAGACTCTCTAGTAAAAATTTGTCTCAGGTAATGTGACCAAGCTTGCAAATTATCTAACAAAATGAAGTAACTTTTTTCGAAAAATGCCCGAAAAAGATTTGTCTTGAAAAAACCTTACTTTTGCAGTAGCCATGGAAACAGATGTTGCTTGATCCGAAGAATTCTAAACGGTCTCATTCATATTTCGATCCTAAAACATATGAAGTAAGTAGAAACCTTTTCATTTTTAACTGGAAATCAATGTTGTATCCATTTCTTTGATAATAGGATCACATCTCAGTTCGACTAATATGGAATACCATTCGAGCTCCAGAAACAGACAATTGTCGATTAATTCACGGATAGTAATGTAAACATGACTGAATTTTATCATGTATCTTACTATTTTAGTGATTATCTTTTGATTTTTTTTTGTCCTTTTGATATAATTTATACTTCGGTACATTTCATTTCTTCTAGATAAAAGAACGTCTCAATGCTTATTTAATATTATATACCTAATACGTGAAAATTTTATCTAATTGATTTTTACTCTACTGTTTTTCTTCCAAAATACAATTAGTTTGATCATTGATTAACATGTCAACGAATCGTAATAACGAAGAGCAAAATGATAATAGAGTATGCAGCTGGCAAAACTTGGCATTGTCTGCTGAATTAGCATCTAATCAACAACAACCAGCATGTGAACAAGGACAGAATCGATCTCAACTTGAACAAAGAGAACAATTACAATCTATACAACGGCAAGATCAATTACAGTTGGTACAACGATCACTACCACATTTGCAATCTAGACAAGGAGAGCCACAACAGCAACAAGAAAAACACAAACAACAGAAGAAAAAATGCCGAGGTGATCGTAAACGTCAACGATACAGAGCAAAACTTCGTAAGCGAGGTTTAAATGATGAAGAAATCGCAAATTTAGAACATAATTATAGCAATATTAATCATGGTCAAGAGATACAACTATCTACTATTCCTGATGTAGACATTGAACTTCTTGTACCTACAGATAAACAGGTAGGATCAATAAAGAATCAAAAGTCCAGCCTAAATAATTATTTTATTTGTCGTTTAAAACAAAATAGAAGGATATGCCTGAAAACGAAAATGTTCAACAAACAAAATCTGTTAAACGTAAACGTGAAACAAGACCAGTTGGCATTACAACATCACTGAGTCAAATGTCAATATCAAATCTTTCAAAAAAACGACCGCGTTCCACATCTATGCGTCGTATTACAGAAGAGAAAAGTGTTGAAGAAACACAATCCAACAATAAACCCAAATATCTAAAAGTACCCGATCAAGTATTCAAAGATATGCTATCAAAATCATTGACAGATGGAAACTCTATTGTTGAAGCACTAGATACACCTGAAAAATTAGAATTCGTTCGTACGTATGCCCATTTGCTCAATAACGTGTTTTATCTCAAATTAGAACACGACTTTTGGCAACATTATCATACAGTATGTATTTCTGAAGTCATTTGGTCTTCACCTTTGACGAAAGATATTGCTAAAGAAAATAATTTATGTCGATTCAAATTTAAAACAAAGATTCAACTTGAAAAACACACAAAAATTATTGGTACTCGACTTCAGGAAGCGGAAAACAACTTAAATAGCCACCAACAACAACCAATCAATAGTTCATTTGATATGAATAAATTATCAACCATCATTACTGCTTTTGTTCGTCAAGGTCAACATAAATTGTCCGCCGAATATGAACGAAAGAAATTGATATTACAATGTGATGCTAATGATCATCGGTTAATTAAAGCATTTTACAATTTGAACCCAACTGAAAATCAGGTATCAATTATATATATTATTCCAAGATGTATACAGAAATATGATTATTTAGATTCGTTCAGCCAAAATTATCTGGCAGGCTACAAAAGATAAATTGCAAGTTGAAGAGCAAGTGGCCGTTCTTAAACAACGTATCTATACCAAACGATTACCTGCATCGTTTGCTATTCTTGATCATTCAATAGATAATATGGAAAATATGTTGAAACAACCAGCACTCAATCAAGATAAACGTGCCACATTATCATTTCGTCGACTTAAAACAATTGCTCAATTCAAATACGATATGATGGTACTGGCTATTACAACCACTGAAGAGACAGTTCGATGTCATGCGAGTATCATTGCCGATGAAAAAAAGAAATTAATTGATACCACTGGAGGACAAGTACCTATTCCTAAATCACTCGTCCAACTAATGAGTGCTATTGCAGCACGTCAAAGTAATATGGTACAACGTTCTCAATATATCATTAAAGAAAAATTATCGGTTTTCGACGACGCTCCGGTGGCAATAAACATGGCTGGTGCCACCGGAGCGATATAATCGATATTTTCAGTCATATTCTTCCATCATCACCTATCATCGAAGTAGCTTCTTCTCTTAAATCGAAACAAGTCACTTACGTTACCAAGGGTCCTAAATATGTGCCACCATGTCAAAGTCGCTTTTCGGGTCCAACCGTTGATAAATTTGTTACACGGGAATATGATAATATTGTTCAATGTTTTGAAAATGGCCTTAAAAAAAATTGTATTTCATATTCCGATCCACAAGCGAAAGACTTCTTTATTGCTGTAGAAAATCTTATTCGCCGTTTCTACACAACTCCTTTACCTCCGAAATTATTCGCTCGTGCTCAATATGAACATCGAATGATCAAAAGTATCCAACGTCAACTCAAAAAGTCCAATGTGGTTCTACGAATAACGGACAAAAGTAAAGTATTTCATTTAGGTTGTGTTTATGATTATCATCAAAAAGCACTACAATACATGCATGAAACCAATGCCTATAGAGAAATAACAAGTGGTATTAATCCATGTCAGAATCATGTACAAACAGTCCTAGCATTAATCGATCCGATGTTGAAAAAAAGAGAGATTAATCTTGAAATATGGAAACAATATATGCGACCAAATGTAACCACAACTGAATTAGCTCATCTATACTTTATACCAAAGCCACACAAAGTAAATTTCCGAAAGAATAATTTCAATATATGCATGTTCTTTTCTATTTTCTATTCTTTCTCTTTCTAGATTGGTACACCATTGAGACCGATTGTGTCGTCAATAAAAGCAGCAGCAACTGGTGTTTCACACTTCTTAGATATTTTACTTCGTCCCATGTTTAACCGAGTAGCAAAGGAAACTATATTTCTGAATGGAATTGACTTTGTTCGACAAATGGAAACTTATCGAAATAGTGGTCGACTCTTGCCAACAACACTGTTGGTTACTTTCGATGTGACTAATCTCTATACTATGATACCTCGTGATGGAGCTATAATCGCTTTACAAAAATTCTTATACAAACATGGAGAAAATCGTCGAATTCACGGAATGACAATCGATACTATAACGCGACTTGCTCGTCTAGTTTTAGATACAAATTGTTTCGTCTACGAAAAGAAATATTATCAACAAATTCGTGGTGGGGCTATGGGATCACCATTTACTATGACATTAGCTAATATCTATATGTGGGATTAGGAACATTCATTAATTGAACATCAAAAAATACATAAGGAACTCTACGGCCGGTAAATTATACAATCTATTTTACTTTACTTTTTCAAGTTTTTTCTTCTTTTGTTTTATTTTCTCATTAGTTATATTGACGACGTCTTTATGACGACTAACTTGCCATTTGATGAAATCAATGCTCGACTCAATATAGCCAATCAGCAAGATGAAAACATTAGAATAACTCATACGATTAGTTCAACTGTGGAATTTCTCGATGTACTAGTCGAAAATAATCAAGGTCAATTGAGAACTTCAGTATTTCATAAACCAGCAGCTGAACCATATATTCTACCATTTTTGTCGGATCATCCACGTCATATTCATCGTAGTACTGTCAAATCACAACTCATTCGAGCGGCACGTCTCTGTTCCCATGTCGACGATTTTGACAAAGAGCGACTAAATATTGAATTTACTCTTTTATTGAATGACTATCCACCAAGATTTATTTCCTATCACTTTAAACAATTTTTCAAAAACAATAATGCTTCGTCTTTAATGGAACAGTTGGATGAAGCTATGTATGGAAAATTACATAGGCAACTATTACTCCAACCAACACGTCGAGAAAAACAACAACAACAACCACTACAAGAGATCATGGCTATAAATCGTAATCAGCAGCAAAATTCCAATCATAATGAGATTTTTGTTCATTTCACTTTTGAAAGTGGTCCAATGTTAAATTTCAAGCGAGAATTAAAGAGTCTATGGGAAAAACACTATATCGATAACAGTCCAATAAAGCACAATATTCAATTGAAAATTGGCACAAGAAGCAATAAAAATCTAACCCAATTATTAGTCAAGAAGAAGCCACCAAAAGCAATGTTAATGAATGTGGTACCATAAGATGCAACAACTAGAACAACAATGATTAGTAGACAAAATTTATTCAATACCATTGTGCAAACATATACATCAACAACCTTAACAAGACACCAAATAGACATTTCATTTACTCTGACTATTGCTCTTTCGTATAGTTCACATTTTTATTCATAACCTTTCGTTCTTACACAAAACAATCATGTTCAACATAGAAAATTATCATTTCTTTATTATTCTAGATATACACTAGTCTATTTACCTTCGTTGAACAAAACTATTTTACCTACGAGCAAAGATCAATTCATTTAATGTGAGTATCATCATCAAAAATACGTTTAGTGATCGAATATTTTTTTTTGTTTGTTTAAGAATGAGTACGGAAAACAGCCAACCGGGTCATATTCCGTCAAAACTATTGAATACACTCAATGTAAGCCAATCTAATATTGATCAACTATTATCGGTCGGAATCGTAACTACAAGTCAGCCATCATTGACACAATTCAACTCGACATATATGATTTCAGATATTCAACAATACGATCATGGAACCGGAACACAGGATGCGGGTCAAGAACAACGACATCAACAAACACAAGCACGACGACAACCACAACAACAAGAAGAACGGCAACGTTTACGACAACAACAGCAACAAGAACAGCGCGAACGGCAACGTCAACGTCAAGAAAGAAACCAACGACGATATGAGCGATGGCAAGAACGCGTAGCTCAACGACAACAGGAACGATATCGACAAGAACGAGAACAACACGAGCACTATGCATACTTGCAGCGACGCTCGCCTAACTTTGACGAACTGATGGATGAGATACTCGGAGAACGAGAGCTGGAAGAGTACTATTTAGAAAGAATGACTCCACAAGACAGACAGGAAGTTTGGGAACAAGAACATTTAAACGAACTACAAGGAAATCCTGCACCTCGAGCGCACGGATTACCACTAGACGATACAGAACGGTATGCAAAATTCCTTCAGGACCAACTACGGTGGGATCAACACGATCAAGCAATGCGAGTCTACGACATGCAAAACAACGACTATGCACAACAATGCAGAAGAAACCAGGAATTACTTCGACAAAAAGAAGAGTGGGAAGACCTGGCATTTCGTCATCAACAATTATAAAAAAAAAACGGCTCAAAATCCAATAATCTCATAATACCCCACTGATTTTCCCGCCTAAATGAAATACTAAACAATAATAAAGCTTTTCCAAAATAAAGTACCTCAAATTCCGCTAAACAATTAACGTCTTTTCATTGCTTTTATTTCAGATAATCTCTTCACATCCAAAAGTACAAAATGCTATACAAAAGCACTATTTCGACAAAAAAACACCACTAAGACAAACAAACAATCTCACCCCTATATACAGCTCACACAATAAAATTATTCATCATTCTATTTCAAAACGAAACAATGAAAAAACCATCTCGACTATTCATATTCTGTTTCAACAAAACATCCAATTTCATAACAGTGACTAACACACAAATAGTCCAAATATCAGTCACGATCACCACTTCCTATTTGAGGTATCTCTTTAATTCTATTTCTAACAATCAAATTAATCGTAGAAACCCTGCTCTTCATCAGACACCAGTCACCTAAACAACAGTACTAACAATAGGCGTCGGACATCTTCTACTTCATACTCAAAAAAATACCGCAATCGAAAGATTTCAAAGGACAAATATTCAAAATCTCATCTACTTAAACACTATGCAGTGCGTAAAAATAATGCAGTGCTTAAAACTACCTGAAGATTTGGACCCTTGAGAAAGGTCGAAACTATAGTCGTAGTTTCCTTAAACATAATACACACCGTGTTATATTTAAGAAATCTCTGCTTTGCTTTACGTTTATAAATTAAACGTGGGAAGTTGTTGTTCTTCTTCTTCTTCTTCTCAATTTAATCTATAAAATAATGCAGTGCTTAAAACTACCTGAAGATTTGGACCCTTGAGAAAGGTCGAAACTATAGTCGTAGTTTCCTTAAACATAATACACACCCCCACACACACCCCCACCCACACACCCACACCCTATGATTCCGATAGAATGTAAATTTCATTTTGAGATCTTTCATTTAAAAGCAAGTATAGAAAATATTAAAGTACATCGAGAATATTTAGAAAAGAAATCGAAACAACAAGAAAAAGAATTAGAAGAATTGATGAAACAATTTAGTGAAGATTTACATAGAAAAATAGTACAATATATTAAGAACAGTATTGATCCACTTATAGATAGTTTAAAAATTTCAAATCAAAAACGTTTAGATAACCTTATTTTAGATCAAATGAGAGAAAAGGCCTTAAGAACAATAAGAGATAAGAGTAATAAGGACAGTTTAGAAATAATAGAAAAAGCACAACATAGATTTGAGAGAACATTACAATTAAAATTCCAGTTAGATAAGTTAGATAGAAGATTAAATGAGAATATGCCTCCACCCGCTCTGAATATTGTAGATAAGTTACAGTTTAGAAGTAAGGAATTAAGTAGTGAAGTTAAGGAGCAGTATAGTGAGCAATGGAACGATATTCTTAGAAAGACTAAGTTAGATTTAACATCCATAATGAGAATAGCCAAGGTTACTGAGATAGATAAGAGCGAGAAGGAACAATTAGATATAGTTGAGAACATACCAGTAGAGATAAGACAGGCTTATAAGGATTTAGTTCATGTAATAGAAATAAGGAATAGTAGAAAGGTACAAAAGAAGTTAGATTTTTTAGAGAGAAAGGGACTAAAAATAATAGGAAAGTAGCTAGAGCGATAGAAAGGAATAGTAGAGCTAAGAGTTTACACCCACATTATACCCCATTAGGATTTCCCCCTCAAGTTAATAATAAAGTCTTAGATTTAGGAGAAGAAGAGAGAAGAATTTTAAATTATGGACCCAAATTTGTACCTGAGAATCCCAAACAGGCCTTAGATAGATTAGAAAATGAGATTAAAGTCATGAAAGATAAGGTAGCCGAAGCTTGGAGAAGAGAAACTAAGACAATAGGTAGAAATCCAAAGAAAGTAGAAGAATTTGCCCAGAGATTAGAAGAAGAACTAAGAAATAAGATAAGTGAAGGAAGAGAACAGGACCCATTAGTGGAGAAAACCTTAGAACATTTTCAAAAGGAACAAAAAAAGGGTAGGGTTATTTTCAGACAAACAGATAAATCCAAAGTATTCCACGTAGATAGACATGAGACATATATAGAGAAATCCATAGCTTACATGAGAAAGACAGATGCCTACCAAGAGATAGAAGAATCCCCATTAGTTAGTATGATAGAGAAAACAGAAGAGTTATTAAGAAATTTAATAAACAGAAGATTATTACCCGGGAAATATTTTGAGAAACTTAAACCAGATCCCCAAGATGCCGAGTTACCCCATCTTTATTATAACCCAAAAGATCATAAGGTAGGAGAACCACTCAGACCAATTGTTTCGGGAATGAAATCACCAACACAAAAAATCTCGGCTTTTCTTGATAAAATTATTCGTCCCATATTTGATAAGTTAACCCCATATAGTTTGAGAAATAGTATAGATTTTTTAAAGGAATTACAAAAACATGGGACAAGAGACCAGACCATTGTATATACATTCGATATAACGGATTTATATACAATGATACCCTAACAAGAATCAATCTTAGCCATTTGTGAGATGTTAGGTGAGAATAAGATATATAAGGTCAATGGAGAAATCCCCATCAATACAATTAGGACCCTCTTTAGACATGTCTTAGAAAATGCGTGTTTTGCCCTCCAGTTACCCGGACAAGAAGTTAAGTATTATAAGCAGATTAGAGGTGGACCCATGGGCTCAGAATGTACCCAAGTCTTAGCTGATGTTTATATGAGAAAGTGGGAGAGACAGTTTAAGACCCAACAGGAGAGTGAGGGAGAGTTATACTTTAGATTTAGAGATGATATATTTTTGACCACTAAGAGAAGTAAGGAAGAGATGGATAGAATATTAGTAGAGTTAGGTAAAAAGGATAAGAATATAGGATTAACCTTTGAGACAGGCCCACATGTAGATTATTTAGATGTAAGAGTAGAAGTAGAAGTTCCCAACTTTAGAACTAAGGTATATAGAAAGTTAGCGGCCCAACCCTATATTTTACCTTTTAACTCAGCACACCCTCCTCATGTAATGAAGAATATCCCCCCCTCAGCACTTTTAAGAGTAGTTAGAATATGTTCCCATAGCGAAGATTTAGAAAGAGAGATAGAAAAAGTTAGAATAACCCTTCTTTTGAATAAGTACCCCCCGAATTTTATAGATAAACATTTTAAGAGATTTTATGAGACATTAACAGGACAAAGGGACCCAAAATTACTTCTTAGCGAGAAACATAGTGAGTATAGAGATAAGGTATTAGATATAGGATGGAATAAAAAGGATAAACCCGGGATTAACTTTAGTAAAGATATAATGGTCCACTTTACATACACCCCTAGTTTGGCCCGCTTTGGATCTAGATTTCACCAAATTTGGAAGGAGATTTTTGAAGATACCCCACTTAGTGATATCCCAATAGTATTCGCCCATAAGTTAACAGATAATTTAAAGAATATATTAGTTCATAAGAAACCCCCAAAGTCAGCGATTAAGGCCCTAGTAGAAGGATTAGAATAAGGATAGAATAAGGTAGTAGTAATTCCCCTTCCCCTCCCCCTTTTTCGTTTTCTATTATAGATTCGTCAACAACATCGACGAAAAGAACGAAGGACCTGGCCTTTTTTTTTGTTTTTTAGTCTTTCGTTCTTTTGTTTTTCGTTTTGTCGCCTTGTTGTTTTCTATTTATGTACATAGTAATAATTTTTGTGTACTCAAAAAGTGAGTACACTCTAGAATCGGTCAGTGTGTCCGGCCGTCCGTTAACACGATAACTTTTGAAAGGAGAGTCCGATCGCGATGAAATTTTCTACACTGTTCAGTCTTAACAATATCTCGGTCGAGTTCGAAGATGAGAATGATTGGCCGAACCATTGCTGAGTTATTGCAAAAATAGTCATTTTTCCCTATGAGAAGATAGACCCTTCTCTGCTTTCATAAAAAACTTTTCCTATCATAGTCAACTAAAACCCCCACTATTATATACCATTCGATAGAGAATTTCACGAGCTACAAAATGGTATATAAAACATAAAGAAACAAGAAAGCTAACTCGCCTATTGCAAAGATAATTAATCGGAATTTGGTTCTGTTTTTGCCCACGCTCTATGTGATCCACAATTAGAGTTCTATCTTCCCATCACAGAGATGATAGTTCGAGGTTTTCTAGAATGGAGAACTCGAATCTATGTTCCATTCGCCTCGAAATCCCATTGGTTGAGCAGTGACCAATAGAAATCAAGTTATAGGAAAAACGACTTTCTTAGGGTAAGTCAAGGCGAAGAGTTCAAATCTGAGCTCTATTCATCTGTAAATCCTAGTGGTTGAGCAGTAGCCAATAGAAATCAACTGTTTTTAGAAAAGGTTTGCCAGGATAATTTTTATGCCCACACATTCTAGGATGACTAATCAGTCTCATACACTTTTTTGTGTACTCAAAAAGTTAGTACACTCTAAAATCGGTCAGTGTGTCCGGCCGTTTACACGATAATCCTTGAAAAATATCATCGGATTGTGATGAAATTTGCACATAGAATTGTCTCATCAATATCTCGGTCGAGTTCGAAGATGAGGATGATTGGTCAAGAAATGGCTGAGTTATAGCAAAAAAGTCATTATTTCCCCATGTCACGAAAATCGTCGCGATTTTGCCGATTTTTTAGAAATCGGTGATAAATCGCGATTTTTCTGCTGTGTATCGATGGTAACAAGCCGAAAAAATCGGCGATTTAGCGTGCGCTAAATCGCGATTAATCTCACGCTAAATCGGCGATTTTTTCGGCTTGTTACCATCAATACACAGCAGAAAAATCGCGATTTATCACCGATTTCTAAAAAATCGGCAAAATCGCGACGATTTTCATGACATGGGTCCTACCTTTTTTCCTATACCAATATTGACCTATTCCGAGGGGGGGCGTGTTTAAGTACCTTTACGTCTTTAAGTCTTATATTAGGGAGGCATCGTTATGTCCTCAAGTCCTGTATTGTAG